ATACAATTAAGCTTATAGTAGGGTTTACAATACTACCAATACATATCATTCTCTATTAAGAGTTTACTATGAAAGCATGAAAACCATAACCTACCTCCACCGAAGAATTGAAATCAAGCAAGTTAATCCTCAAAGCTTGGTGTTTTCCTCCTCTTCTCGATCGTTTCTCTCTCTCCCTTCTTGTTCTTTCTATTTTCTTATTCAAACCATCTTTCTTTTACCCTAATTAGTATATAATTAAGAATAAAATATGGCAATAATACCCCACTAATTAACTTAGGGTTACCTCTTTTAACCCCCAAGAATTTCAGTTATTAATATAAACCCACGAACTTTATAATTAAGGCAAGAACTGTCAAAAACGTCCCTTAAAACTTAACCAGAAATCCGATTCTGCCTGGGATTTGCGCAACCTGTGACGGGCCGTCGTGCCTGTGACGGTCCGTCCTGCAGGTCGTCGCAGAGTTTAGAGACCCAATTTTTCCACCAAGGGTCTGTGACGGTTCGTCACACCTGTGACGGTCCGTCCTGCCATTTCGTCACAAAGTTCAGACAGTCGATTTTCAGTACCCAATTTCAGATTTCCTAAGTGTTTTGAAACGAGACTCTGCGACGGTCCGTCGTGCCCATGACGTTCCATCGTGGGGTCCGTCGCTTCTGCCAGTTTTTCTAGAATTAAAGTCTGTTGCTCAAAACGACTAAACGGGTTGTTACACATGAAAATTGGCTTATGTCAACAACTATGGTTATGAATTCTATGGCAAATTGTTTATGCCAATAGTAATCGTATGCCAATAAAATGTCTAACAATACATTGTCTAAAAGTGATTTATATATATGGATATAATATTATGTTATATAAATAAAAGATTGGCTAATGGTTCATACATATTGAATTTAGATATGAACATATGTAGAAGTGGGACATTCCTACAATAATGGTTATGCAGTTTAATTTTCAAAGGTTGAGGCCAATACAAATTATATGTAAATCTTGTGTTGTTAGAGTATCAAATGATAATATAAGCACTTATAAACTAATTCAATGAACCAATAATCAATGGCATGCCACTCATTGAGACAACTCTCAACATTTTTCAAAAGAATGACATATAAACTCATGAAACTCATGAAGTGCACATCGTCCATGAATGATAATATGAATCTACTACACTAAAAGAAGTATGTAACGTGAGTTATAGCATAATTAAAGGGAATTAAAATAATCAAGTGACCATAATGGGGTGCTAAAGGAAGTAAGACAAGTCTCACTTATACCTAAGCTACTATCTTAAAAGAATACTCACGTATGAAGGTGTTAGAATTTGTGAGCAAGTCTCATTAATAACAAATGATTATATGCAAGTAAAAATCAATGTAAAGTAAGGATGTCCAGTTATTAATAGAGTAAGTAAATCTTAACCTAGAAGCAAGCCTCCATAATGCTTGGAGTCAATACTACAAGATAAAGAAGAAATACATTCATGTAAAAGGGTGAGTAATTATGAAAAGAAAATGTTCACATATTCATGAATGTGGTGAAGACATGATAAGAGGCTAATGTGAAAGATAAGAGCAATCTCAAATGATCCTAAGTAAATGTTATTAAAACGTATTCCTCTATGAGAGTGTATAACTAATGAACAAACCAGCCTCAATGTACACTCTAATGAATGTATTGAGATTAATGTATACTTAATACTAATATGAGATGAGAAATCATCTATTGAGCTATGATGTCCTAATACTAGAGGCTAGCTTCTATGATGTATGAGTTGAATGTAATGGAACTTTATCTTGAGAACCGATAGGCTAGCAAGAAGCGGTGATTCCTTCTTTCGAGAAGTGGGGAGGTTCACGTAACTCTAATTAGATGAGACTGTCCATCATGCTTGATATGGGTCTCCTTATATCTCCTAGTCGTCAAAACTATACTACCATTATAGGGTTCTGGCGGGGTTCAATGCACATGTACGCTAGCATGTTTTGGGTCACTTTGGCTGGTGATTCCGCCTCTTTTAAGTGTGGGGTAGACACTTGATTCATGATACTCCCATGATATATGTCATTTAAGGTTGGAGTTCCTCAATGTATGAAAAATAATTAAATAAAAGATATCGAAGGTGTTTGTCCAAGACAATCAAGAGGTGTAATCAGATTCAACTAATGACATTAGGTCATTCTTTGTCATTTCACCTCATGATCCCAATGAGAGTCTTGAACTTCATCCTAAATATAGTTGGTGTTTACATCAGCGTACGAATGAAAGAAATGAATAATGTGAAGTACGAATGAACGAATGAACGAGACTCTGTGTTTGCTAAAGAAAGCCCTCTAGTTGAGGTCCCATATGTTGGGCCCTCACTTGAGATGTATTATGCTATATCAAACATTCCAAATTCTCATGTATATGAAATATATAATATATAAAATATGAAATTAATGAAATCAATGTCATGACACATAGGGAATTTCTTATGAAAGGTAAGGCAGGGAAATCATTCCTTAGTCCTTAGATTACTTACATCGATTTATTGTGGGTATGGGACTACAGTGAATTATTGAACTTGCAAGTAAAACATAGGAAAAAATGAGTTATTGACTACACAAGAAAAAGGGGAAAAAGACTGCAAAATAATCTAGAGGTACAAAGAGGACCTCTCGTCCTAAAAGGATCAAACTGAAATCTTTGCCCGAGGTAGTCTAAAATTATGTGGCTGATATTGATTTTTTGTAATCATATATAAAAGGATTTGTGTGATTTGAATGCATTAAAATACATCATATTCATACCACAGTTCACATCTAACGATTTAGGAAACTCTAATTACTAAGCTTTCTATAAATAGCATGTGGTTTAGGAAGATCTTTCTTTGATCATGCATAGATTTATGTGTATGTGTGAATACATGATACTTATTACAAGTGGTGTACTAACCCCCTACTATTTACTATTTTTATAGGTGCAGGTTAGGGGACAGGTTGACAACCCTTGTAGCGATTTGGACTTAAGCTTTTCTCCAAATCATTTGGTAGGTCCTCATGATTTCGAGGATGCTAAAGATTTAGTCTAGACATAGTTTTTGACATAGATAATGGATGTTTCGCTAGCGTTTCTGTTGCACATTCATTTCGAAGATTTGTAAAATGGCCTTGTTTTGCAAACTATTTATGATATATTCAACTGCAGTTTCGAATTGATTCTTATGTTAGATGGTTGTTCTCTTATCTTGAGCTTAGTAATATGATGTATCTGGTTAATAATTATATGATGTCTATGTGTACTTCATACATATAAAAACTTTTAAATTTTCCATATATTTTACTAGATGAATGTGTTGAATGCAAGATGAGGCTTGTCTGCGACCTCTGAGAGGTTAACGATGTCGGTTGCCATCCGGATTCCAGACTCTGAGTCTTAAGAAGAATAGAAAAGAACCGACATAGACCATTATAGCAAAGCATAGAATCCAGAGTTCCATCCTACTCCGATGACAGTGTTCCACTTGACAATGGTAGAAATCTAACAAATACCATGTAGGCACATGGTTAAGGAATACGAAGTGCATGCTTTGTACTTTAGTCTCATTCTCTAACTAGAACTACTTTCCCCACCATATTCACTTGATGCCAGCCTTTGTTCTCATAGAGTAATTTACATTAAATATTCATTTATATGGGTTCCATATCAGGTTAATAACCCAATAACAGTTACCCTACAAAAGAAAGATCCAATAGATCTTCTTTACAATGGCAACAAGAAGCTAATAATTGCTTTCCTAAGGTTTGATATGATGTCGTTCCAGCAAATCAACCTTAAGTCTATCATTTCTTTCATGAAGGACACCATTGCGACTTTCGACTTCAACGTTTATAACCTTATCAATAGGTTCAAGGTTTCACATGAAGGACCCTCTTAACATCATATAAGGTCACATCTCATTCATACATACAATATTATTATTGTTTAACATCCTAAGTAAAGACATCACATATTCACTTTCATACATGCATCAAGTAAGGGACACAAGTCAACAAATACAAGACAAAACATATTTCACTTTCACACATATTACATGTCATTCTAGAAGAACATAGAAATAACTCTAATCATTTTTAAGTCATCTTATAAACTATCATATCATCATCAATTTGTCCATCATAGATCTCACATCGTCAAAAAGGATCAACAATGCATAAACCCTAAGCATATAAGCATATAGTCATAGTCTACATGATCTCCTAACATACATAGAAAGAACACACACTTTCAGATTACTTTATATATTGATAGAAATTCTCATAGTTCACATAAATAAAGTACACAAATCATCGTAATACTTCAATTAGTGTGGACAAGGCCATGATCATCGTATTATATAAAGTAACGCCCACAATGCCACAATAATTGTAAGTAAAGCACTTAGCACCACTACCATTAGTGGACTGTAACAATCAATCAATATACAATGCTTAAAAACCTATTATGCAAGAACCTATGCATAGACCATGAAATTTGACAATTCATCTTAGAAAACTTTAGGAAACATCTTTGAAAGTTGGGCTCCTTTATAATTAGAGTTTCAAGGATCAACAACCATACCTCAATGAAGCTAATTATTCAATTTGATGAAGAATCTCCACTGAATTCTCCTATCCGATTCTTTCCTTCAGATTTAGCTCCAATGGAGTTCTGGATAATTTATAAAGGAATTTGGGTTTTGATTTTGAAGAATTAAATATTCTAAGTATTTTAGGCTTATCAACATAGTTTAAAATATCCAAAAGACCCTTTAGGAACCTTCCTTTCTCTTAATTTGACGTGGATTGAATTTACAAGTTCACCCCTAAATTTAACAGTGAATGCACGCAGGGACAGTACTCAGAGATAGAGGACCATCGACAACCCGTCCTTTGACAAACGGACCGTCCTGCTTGTTTGTGGTCTAGGACTGAAGCTTGTATTTGTTATCTCCTCTCCCAAGACTAAGTGTTACACGATGATACACAACCAAAAGGCCGACGACTTACTCAGAGGGCGTCGATTGCTATCTGTTGGTGGGCTGTCTTGGGCAGTCTTGGACACTAACTTGGGTCCTTCCTTAATGAACCTTTTCATGGTCCTTGGCGATATTTTCCTTGAAGTTTCCAACCTGAACATTCTTCTATACAAGTTTAGTACGTTTAACATAAATTTAATCTAAAACGAACACTTAAAACATAATGAAACATGCATACACACATAAGGTCGTTTCAAGGAAAATCTTTCAAACATCATGGAAGTTAGACCTCCAAACTTCACAAAACTTGACACACTGTATATATATACCATGATAACTCATTTAACGGCATTATAACCTCATGAAAAACACATAAACATATATGTGTACCCACATATAAGGCACATAGGTGAGTTAGTCGTCGAACATCTTAGGTGCCCCTTAACGTTTGACTTTGAATGCACCAAAAATCTTAGACACATCCTCAATACCATATTTTCGACCACTTGAGGAACTTAGACCATCATGACAACCATGTTACTCTCTAGTTGACCTATGTTATTTTGGTGAACTTACAAGGTTTATGTTCACGTTGACATTCACAATGACGTTCTCATGGACTTCAATATTTCACCAAATCTTATGTTTTTTAGGTTGACGTTCACATTTTGATTAACGTTTCTGTTGATGTTAAATTGACGTTCATTTTGACGTTTAAGTTGATGATTATTTACACTCTGATGTTAACATTGACGTTGAAGTTTATATTTATGTTAACTTTCACATTTATACGTTGACATTGCAATTGATATTTATGTGGATTTATATTGATGTTTATTTTTACTTTAACATTAATGTTGATGTTGATATTGACGTTGATGTTTACATTGATGTTGACGTTGAGGTTCATGTTGATGTTGAAGTTGATATTTACGTTGACACAGATGTTTAAATTTACGTTTACGTTCACATTTATGTTGACGTTAACATTGACGTTCACATAGACGTTCCAATTGATGTTGACGTTTTTATTGATGTTGACATTGAAGTTAACATTGACATTGACGTTTATATTGATTTTCACATTAACTTTATGCTGACGTTCAAATTCACATTGATGTTCATTTTCACATTCACGTTAATGTTTACAATCATCTGACATTGATGTTGACATTGATGTTTACGTCGAAGTTAATGTTGATATTCATAATAAGTTGACATTTACATTGACCTTTATGCTTACATTGACAGTCATACAAATTTTGACGTACGTTCATGCTGAGGTTGACACTTACACGACCATTGTTATTGACGTTGACATTGATGTATACGTTCAAGTTGACATTGATGTTGACGTTGAGGTACACATTGATGTTCACCTTGACTTTGATGTTGATGTTGATGTTCACCTTTATGTAGATGTTGAGGTTCATATTTACATTGACGTTGAACTATATATTTAGGTTGACGTTGAAGTTCATGTTCACGTTCACATTGAGGTTCACATTAAGGTTGACATTCTCGATGACTCATACTTTTACGTTAACTTTTAGGTTAAAATTGACGTTGACTTTTATATTGACGTTAAAATTGACAATCACGTTCACATAGACATTCTTATTAACGTTCCCATAGACATTGACATTGTTGTAAACGTAGACGATCCCGTTGATGTTCACATTGACATTGACGTTCATGCTCATGTTGACATTCACATTAACGTTCACGTTGACATTGACTTTATCGATGACTCTTACATTCAGGTTGATGTTCATGTTTATGTTGATGTGGACATTGACGTTTACATTTATGTTCACGTTCATGTTTGTACGTTCATGTTGCCATTGATGGTCAAATAGATGTTCACACTTACGTTGACATAAAAGTTGTTGTTTACATTGACGTTACCATTGACTTTCACATTGATGTTTATGTTGACGTTCACCTTTACATTGACACTGACGTAGATTTTAATATTTACATTGATGTTAACTTTGACATTTTAATTGATGGTGACATTATTGTTGATGTCGACGTTGACATTTACGTTAACATTCACGTTGAGGTTGACGTGAACATTGACATTGATATTTATGTTGATGATCACTGTAATGTTTATGTTGACAGTGACATTCATATTGATGTTTATCTTAACGTTCACAGTGATATAGACGTTGATGTTCATGCATATGTTAATGTTTATATTTAAGTTGATGTTGATATTAATATAACTGTCGTCATTGATGTTGACGTGCAACTTGACATTGACGTTGATGTTGATGTTCACCTTGTAATTTAAGTTGAAATTCATGTTCACATTGACATTGACGTTCAGTTCACGTTGAAATTGATGTTAACATTCACGTTAACGATCACATTGACGCTCACATTGACTTTCACTTTAACGTTTATGTTGAAGTTCATGTTAACATTAACATTGACATTGACGTTCACATAGATGTAAACATAGGCGTTCACTTTCACATTAACATTGACTATCACATCGAGGATCATGTAGACGTTGATGTTCATGTTAACAATTACATTAACATTGACATTGATATTCTCACTAACTCTTACATTTATGCTAACTTGACGTTGATGTTGATGTTTACGTTTAAATTTTTATTCATGCTACGTAGACATTTATGTTTGACATTGATGTTGAGGTTATGGTGTAAATTTACATTTATGTTGAAGTTCACATTGATGTTTGTCATGAACGGAATCTAGACCCTAGATGAGACCAGCGTGGTTAGCCTCTAAGTGGTCGCAGACAAGCCTACATACGTCATTCTTAATTCATCTAGGTTAATTTTGGCGTAAAATTTGAAAACTTTTGTTTCTTAACATGCTTACTAAACTTTCTACTACATACGTAATTGTTCACCATCAACTATCAAACATAAATCATCAAATGAAAGAAACAGTTTATTATAACGATGAAGATGTACTATCAAAAATGGCACCAATACAATGTCTGCACTAAAAGGGGTAAAGAAACACCAGTGGAACATACTCTACATGCTAAATCCTTCAAAAAAACCTAGAATGTAAATGGGCAAGCATCCTCGAAAGTGTGAGGGCCTACGAAGTACGGCTTAATGCTCGACGTTCAGATAACTACACCGTTTATCCTATAGGTCTAGCGTCCACCTGTGCCTGCACCTAAAATTTTAGAGTTGTATAGGGTTTGAACACACTTGTACTAAGTATGGGTATACGCAAGCACACAACAAGGACATGCATGAGTAAGATTAGCTCTTCCTAACAACATGATTATAGAAGGTCAACTCACTGGACTTGCAAATTTGAGAGTAGGAACATGAGTGGGATTTCCAAATATGAATTAGGAGCGTTATTGAGCTTTCAAAATTTGGATTACGAAAGTTATGCCATTAGAGTAACATGCACCATCATACTTAACATTTTACACATAGTACACAACAATGTACACATAGAACATAACATAATTCCTATAACACATAACATTGTTCATATCATTCATTAGAATGCCACGAGACCTTGGAAAAATGTACTTGACATTATGACTTCCAAAAAATGAGGGATCAACATATGGGACCTCAACTAGGGAGTCTACTTTAGCAAACACAGAGTCTGCTTCATTTATTCATATGTAATTAATTTCATTTCATTCATGGGCCACTGTAAACGCCTGTTTTACCTAGGATGTGGTTTAACACTTTCATTCGGTTCATTTTGCAATGACAATAAATGAACTAATGTCATTAATTAAATCTATCTCACCTCTTGATTATCCTATCCTAACACCTATGGTATCATTCGTTTCATTATATGCATCATTTGAGGTTGGACTCATTCATTGATTGGGAACTTTAACATTAACCGACATAAATCATGTGATCATCATGAAATCTAGTGTCATGAAACCCCATACTAAAAAGAGCTTGAATCACCAGTGAAAGTTACTCAAAACATGCTAGTGTACATTGTATTCAACCACTTCAGATCCCTATAGTGGGTGTTTAGGTTCGAAGACTAGGAGATATCAAGAGACCCTTACCCGGGATGAGGAATAATCTCATCTCATGAGAGTTACTGAACCTTTATCCTTACTGAAAGAAGGCATCACCGCTCATAGCTAGTCTATCGGTGATCATTATAAACATCCATTACAGTCAACTCGTACCTCATGGAAGCTGACTTCTATGACGAGGACTTCATATCTTAATACATGATTTATCATCTCATCATTAGTAATAAGTGTGTTAATCTCAATACTTTTATTAGCTTTAAACTCCCATAAGTGAGTACGTTTTGGTAACATTTACTTAGGCGCATTTGAGATTGCTCTGATCTTTTACATTAGCCTCATATCATGTTGTCACCACATTCATCAACATTAGGACATCTGCTCTTCATAATTACTCACCCATTTTTACTTAAATGTTCATTTCATCATATGCTTATGCACTTGGCTATTTGTGTGTTTCACACTCTTATTTAACCCTTTTAGAATTTCATCATTTCTTTACATAATAATCAATATATCATATACGAATGCACTTTGCCATTTAGTGTATTTTGTACTCGTACTTAAACTTTCAAGGGTTACATCATTCATTACATACATCTTAGATTCACTTATTTTTAAACGTATGCTAGACATATGGGTCTATATATACAATCCATGAGGCTTCATTCATAGTTCGTTTAAGTGATTAATATCTTCCTATGATTATATAGTACAAGACTTATGCATCTTGTGTGTATGACAAGGTCTCGATTTCGATCAAAGTAGGCAACGTTATTTTTGAAGATTTAATTCACGTATGACTTATGCATCTATATGTAATTTGGGCAAGGGAACACAATTTTGACCCTTAAACAAAACTTACATTTTATTCATTTATTGAATTTTTGTCCACATGACATTTCAGACCCTAGATCGAGCCCCTACATAAATGTTTCCTCTTTATTTTTCTCCTTTTAATTACCTCTTACTTGGACGAGGAATTGTGGGATCCAACCCCCACAACCCCTTTGAATTTTTTTTATCGATTTCTCTTTGTCTATTTCATGTTTGTTATGAGGTTGTGGGATCAAACGCCGAAAGCCTCTCATTATTTATCTTTTATTCACCTGCTTATATCTGCCTAAGAGGTCGTGGGTTCGCTTACCACATGCCTCCCCGTTTATTTTTCATTTATTCACCTCCTTAGTCTACCTAAGAGGTTGTGGTTTCGATTCCCACATGCCTTTCCCTTTAGTTTTCTTTTATTCTCCTCCTTAATCTGCCTAAGAGGTTGTAGGTTCAATTACCATAGGCCTCCCCCTTTATTTTTCTTTTATTCTTCTCCTTAAATCTTATTGAGAGGTGGTGGCTTCGAACCCCACTACTCTCATTTCTTACTTTTTTTCATTTAAGTTACATTTTCCAGCCAATACCATGGTTCGAATCCCCTTCACTACATTTCTTTTTACTTCTATTTTTTCATGGTTTTTAACATGGTGAGGTCACGAGTTCAATCCTGCATGACTTGACTTGTTTCAAATCATTTTTTTTCAACATTTTGAACCCTCTTTGCTTAGAGAAATTCATCTCTAGAAGCTTGAAATTTCTTTTAATTTTCAACATCCTTTCTTCAACTTACACCGTAGTTCTTAGGGGAATCTCCTAGTGCATTTAGAACATTTTATGTGCGTTTTCAAGTATTCCTTTAGAAAAGACATTATCCCTCAAATAAGCTACATTTCAACTCATATGAACATCACATTTACATAAACATCTGTATATGAAATATAATGTAGTATCATGCCATTTCGTGTCCTAAAGAGTGAAAAGTAGTCACGGCAACACGCACAAACACACGTAGTTACATTTTTGGAAACATCAATATCAGTCATATAATTCCAAACATACTTATAAACACCCAATCTTCACGATAATAAGTTTCATCAAAAATTTTCTACCAGCAAACATAATAAACCTATGATTCAATGGAGCTAGTGACAGGGACATGCAACGGGGAACAATCCTAGCTTTTGGAATAGATATCTCTGAACCATAGGGGGTCTCTTGGGAAAGGTTTCAAGATATAAAAGAAACCATACCTTTTTGACGTTCTAACCTTGACTTTTTTCCAAAATAACTCCTCGAAACACACGTCCAACACCAAAAATTCGACACCAACCTCAATGAATAAACTTCTCTTTTGTCCTACATGATTGTTGACGTTTGTTTTTCTTATATTTTCGTGTAAGTTCTTCAAGTGTGAAGAAATTAAGTTTACCTACTGTTTATGGAGTTATTTTGGCAGATAAAACGTAAAAGAGAGTGATAGAGACGCGAGAGAGATAGATGAGCTTGGGAGAATAGAGTTTTCTTAGGCTTAGGAGTCTAGTTTAGGACGTAGTAAAATAAAATTTTATTTAATTATTAAAAATCTGATTTCCATTTATTTAAAATAACATAACAACTAATAAATATAAATTAATTACACTAATTTACCAACATAAATTAAAAACAATTTAATTCATTGCTTCCACCTAGGTTCGATTCGGGTGGAGCACCACTTCACTTTAACAGCCTAATTTCGACCCTCTATCCCCAAAATACACCTCCACCTTATTAATTAAATAGTTAATTATATAGTTAGGGTAATTGAAATACTAAACTTAGACTGTAAAAATACCATTTTACCCCTAGACTCTCCAAACCTAAGAATTTCTCTTTTTAGGTCTTGTAAAGACTCTTTTGAGTAAATCTTCGTATTCGAGAGCCATACATTGTTGGAACCAACCTTCCATAGATAAAAAAAACTTGGCAAGTTAGTTGTCTATGATGTATCATGGGTTCCGAGTTCTGGTTCTATGCGCATAAAATCATGTGAAACCGTTCTAATCATTGCCATTCTAGACACATTAAACATTACTAAGCATATCAATTTTTAGGTTGTTATAATATCTACGTTGATGCTTACATTTACATTTATGTTGATCTTGATGGTCCCATTGATGTTAATTTTAAAGTTCACATTGTCATTCACGTAGGTGTTCACATTGACTTAGATATTAACGTCGACATCAACCTACACATAGATATTCACCTTGATGTTGATTTCCACTTATGCATAGACGTTTACCTTGACATTGATATTGACGTAAATGTTAACGTTCATCTTTATGTGTACGTTGATGTTGACATTCATACTTACTTTCACATAG